AACTAATAAGTTTCTGATCTAACAGGCAATGATGAAGACTGATTGGGTCATCTATGGAAGGGAACATGAGTTCTGAAGAACACAGGTCCCCTACAGAGGATAAAAGGAAAGAGGGAAAGATGCCATTATATACGTGTAAAAGCTCAGGAAGGTTGTGGTTCATTCACAAAGCATGTAAAGGCAGTAAATTCCTAATTAGGGCTTGTCTGTCCCTCACACACGTTTGTATGCACAGGTACTGCTGTCCTGTGGGAAACTCCAGAATTGCTGCAAATTTGTCACTTGCCTTGTACTACAAAACACTGGATTTTGATAAATTGAATTTTATAAAGGGAAAACTCAAAACACACAGAAACTTGCCTTTGTCACAGTTTATTGGACCCAGTACGAGCCTGCCTGGGCCCCAACAGCTTCCCGGCACACTGGCATCCCAGGGGCAGAGCAGCAAGGGAGGGAGGCAGGCACTGGCCTCTCCCCCCTGCACTGCCCTGCATGAGCACAGCCCTGCGGGATCAGTGCAAAGCACGTTCCTCTAGGTTTGAAGTTAACCCATTCTCTCTTGAGAAATTCTTCTAATTTAAGAAATGAAGCACAATAAAATCAGGAAGAAGAAGAAAAAACAAAACACCTCAGAGCTGAAAATGACAGGATGCCAACTTCAGATTTGGGAACTGATTCATTTGCCAGCTCACAGGCACGCACACCTAGTGTGTCTATATTTATATGCATGGACTTGGGCTCCCTGCTCTGTAGAGGCACTGAGTATTTTTAAATCAGTGAGAAATCAAGAATCACTGCACTTAGAGAAGATGGAAAAAATCCCCTTTTTCTAAGCTCAGATAAGAGGAATCTTGACGCAGCAGCTCTGCCTGCAACACCCAGCAAGGCTGAGAGCCAGCACGGACACACAATTTTCTCTGAGATTCCTTCCCTTAACAGGCCACTGCTCACTCCTGTAGACAGACTATTTTGCATTGGAGTCTGACCCAGCAGATAATATGAGAAGTCTCTGTGTCAGGATGCAAATCTGGGGAGCATTCTGACCGTGTGAAAGATGGCAGAAAGAACCCAGTACTGCCAGAGAGCTGTGCTGCTGCCCCTTCCTGCTGCCTTACTGGGCTGGGAATTCAAAGCTCCAGGTTCAATGCCCAGCTTTATCCATAACCCACAGTGGTCTCACCAAAGATCGCCAAACTCTCTCAGCATCCCCTTCCGGAAAAAGGGGATAAAATGTCTCAGCAGTATCACAAAGGTTTGTTAATGCTTGCAAGCACTTTGTAGATAAGGAACATCAAGACGGCAGTTAGCAGAGGGATTTGGGGCACAGACAGACATAAATCCAAAGCACTCATATCATACACTTTTTAGACAAGCATAGCAGTAGATCTGCTCCCTGCATTTAGTGGTTGTGGGCTCCATCCTCTCAACAGACTGAGCACTCTTGTCTTTGATCCAAAAAATGAGTCTGTGGAGAATATTCACATGTTTAATGTTAATCATATGCTTAAATCCTCTGAATCTATAAAGAGGGTAAAGGAGAAAAGTGTTCCCCGGCTCCAAAACAAACACACATTCCCAGAAGTTATATTTAGGACATGAGTAAACATTTGACCAGCAAAGGCCTTCACTATACACCTGCTAAGCTTCTGCATCCCTGAGGAAACCTGCAGGTGGGGAAAATGTCCAGAGGGAGTTTGCTTAGACAAAATCTCTCAAACACAACCAGCATGGTGCTATGTGATAGAAGCATCCCAGAGCACATGAACTACTATTCCACTGGCAGAGCAGCTCTTGAGAAAGGAAATCAGAATCCAGAAAAAATGAACTAAGGAACTCAGCACATCGATTTGAACTTGTGATTCTGGATTCATTTGCAACTATTAATTCCCTCATTTATTAACTGTCTATTGTGAGGGAAGAGGACACTGCCACCCAGTCCTCCCAAACTCCATGTGCCATTGGCAGCACCTAGAAAGCATCTTCTCCTAACTCTGCATCAGAGAGGAACAATACTAAGCAAAAGGCATTGGATTCCCCTTAAAGCCTTGTTCATTTTCAGCACTGCTTGCTCTCTCTCTCATCTTTACTATCTGAAACATCTAACTCAATTTACATCCTAGTAAACTCCTGGCCAAGCTAATGGCTTGGGGCTACCAGTCTCCTAAGCCAGCTGGCCAGGGTGTCCGTAAGGCTCTGCTCTTGCATCGACCCCACCTTTACTCAGATCCTTTCCTGCAGATGGATCAAGTCAGTGGAGTGAGGGCACAACTCCTTTTGCACAGGTTTGCTCAGCAGAGCAAGAGCAGGTACCTGCAGCACTAGGATGCACCGAGCTCCAGACGCTCCTGCAGAGCAAAGCACTCCCAGCCACATCCACGGCTGCAGAGTGGACACAGCCCTGACCAGATGAGCATCTGCAGCATAAACATACAACTGGCATCCAGAGATCATTTTCAAAGCCCTGTCAAACAAGAAAAGCCTCAGGCAACCAAAGGACCACTATCCAGAGCTTCGCTGCTATAGCAGATCTGTAAACATTATCCAGCTTACTCACAGCAACATCACATTTTGCCAGCAATGTGAAAAGGACAAATCACTCTCTCACCAGAGTAAATTGCCCAAGATGCTAAATAAGGCTGCTAATTACTTCTGAGGATTTTTAAAGAATCCTTTAAGATTACTGTCCTCAAATTTGATTAAGTAATATAAAATAAGTAATATAAGTAATATAAATCCTTTCAACTGAACATCATCAGATGAAGTTGACTTGATGGTATAAAAGAAATGTTTTCTCCTCAAGCAATGGCCTTCTGAGAAGTGTGCTGTATTTTTACAGTACACAGCACTAAACCAGAGGGAGCTGTTCCATTTGCACCTTGCAAAGGGTTACCAAGGTGTTTATCTTCCTTGTTTGGCTCAATTAGAACTATATAAAATGCCAGTGTATTTCTACCCTCAGCTGCCCTGAACCAAGAACCACAAGGGATGGAATCACATTGCTGGGTGAGGCTGTAAGAAGTCCAAGGGAAGTTAACACAGCACTAGAAATGCTGGTTATGCTTCTCCACATCCTTTGCAAAACACTTTGCTGCTCCAAGGTTTGCAGCTACTAAAGAACAACATGAAGTTCATTGCTGTTGCAGCTCATCAGCACGACCTGGCAAAGCCCACCACTGGGGAAGCCCTCTGGAGAGGACTGAAAGCCCCAGGTGACACTTCCATGACTTTATCAACAATTCCACGGAGGAAGAAGCACTATCTCTTATGATAGGGTAAGGTACAAGGCATAACTTCTCAGAGAATCTCTCACAATAAGCTAAGACCTCTTAGACATCTCTGGTGCCTTTGTGTTGTTTGGTGCCTCCATTAATATCACCCAGGAGGTCAGACTTCATTACCAGGCACTCTTCCCTGGCTAGACCCTTGACTCTCCCTTTGCTCTACCAGTTCTTTGTTGGAATATGTGAAGAGCCAGAGGGTAACAAAGGAATGCTCTCCCCATCCTCACCCCTTAACCCAGTTGTCCTTCCCCATTCCACACAGGCAGCCCACTCCTTCTCCCATCCCTGACAAAACAGATGAGATTAAAAGAGTCCTGGAAAGCAGAGCACCAGCATGATGCATCTTTCAGTGCTGAAGAGGGCAGACACACCTTCAGGCACAAGGTGCTCCTGGCTGCACCACAGAGCACAGGTATCCCACATCCAGGACTGCTGGAATACACCTTTTACACTACATTGGCTTGGGAACGATAATTAAGTCCCAGACTAATTTCCTTCTGATCAACAGCTCTGAGTGATTCCCATTAAGTCAATTCCCAGTGCCTTAAATAAGGAGCCCACGAAGCTACTAAAACAATGACAGTCTTTTTACCTGGGAAATAGCTGTCTAGGAAATTTCTCCTGTGCAATATAAGCGTCAGTATTTTAGGTTTCAGTAACACGATAAAATGTGCCATCCCCAGCCTACTCAATACAGGCAGAGACCATCAGGTCTAGAGAATACAATCCAAGCACAAGTGGTCCCTTCACTTCTCTTTTTCCCCTCATCTCCCAGCGTTTCATCCTGTGCCCGAGGGATCAGTGCCCAGTGCGGGTTCTCACAAAAGCCACCGAAACGCCCCAGGCTATACGATGTCACCCAGGAACACCGTGGGTATTAAAGCCACCACTGCGGGATGAGGTCTGTGCAGCTGCTCCCCTGTCCTATTAATTGGGTACTATGGACACGCTCCCGCCGTAAGCACATCTTTGACATAACATAGCATGACAATTTCTTCAGAGTCACAGAAATGCAGAGCATACAAATAAACCTGAATGCTGAAACCATTTCATTGTTCATAAGAACATGCACGTTGCACCTGTTAACGACCAAGGGCTGTGTCTGTGCCTTGGAGCTGATTATTTCAGCCTCTGACAAGCCTGTCTTGGAGGACTGTTAAATTCCAGGAGTAAATAGAGCAACAGCAAAATTATTTTACAACAAGAAATCATTACCGAATATACACAGAGAGAGGTCTTTAAATCCCAGGCAAAGAAAACAACCCTCATACTGACATTTTTCCCCGGAGCTTCTCACAACCGCTGAGTCAGTTTAAATTAAATTTGGCTGAAACAAAATAACTCCGAGACTGATACTGGTAAAGTCCTACCCTGAAACAAATGTTCGGGAGCCCAACTGCACGGGGACTCCGGATAGACAGGGAAGCAGGACGCTGGCGCGGCAGAACCGGGGAGCGCTCCCCCCAAAACCCCGTCCCGGCGGGAGGGACCGGGCGGCAGCGCCGGGGGAGCCGCGGCCGCCGCAGGGAGCAGGTGGCAGGGCCGGTCCCCGCAGCCCATCCCATCCCAACCCAGCCCGGCCCCAACACGGGGCGAGGTGGGGGGGCGATGTTTTCCGCGGAGAGAGGGACGCGGAGGAGCGCGGGAGCGGCGGCTGCGGCAGCGCGGAGCGGGCAGGGCAGGGCAGGGCGCGGCGGAGGGGACGGGGATGGGACTCACCGAGCTACGCGCGGCTGCTGCCCCCGCTGCCGTCCATGGGGGCGGCGGGGGGACGGGAGCCCGCTGCGGGCCAGAGCCGCCCCGCGATCCGCCGCATCTGCCCGCCGCCGCGGAGAAGGAGGAGGAGGAGAAGGAGGAGGAGGAGGAGGAAGAAGAGCAGCCCGCCCGCCCCGGCCCCCGCACAGCCCGGCCGCAGAGCGCCGCCTGCCCGCCGCGCTGGGAGGGTCCGCGGCGGCAGGGGGGGCCCGGCCGGGGGCAGGTGCGGCCGCCCGGGGCGGGGGGCGGCGCGGGGATGGGGCGGGGGGCGGCCCCGGGGCGGTGCAGCTGCCGGAGCGCGGAAAAGGGTGGAGGGGGAGAGGAGGGGGTGGAAGCGCCTGTGCGTAACGTGGCCCGGCGCGAATCCGCCCCGCGAGGGCTTTTAATGAAGTACAGATGTTCCCTAATATAATTATGTCGTCCTCGCCCCGATAATTGGCTTTGGCAGCCGCGCCGATCCAGTCCCCCCTGCGCGGATGCTGTGCCCCCCTCGCCCACCGGCATCTCCCCCGACACCGCGGCCGGGCACAGCCCTGGGGACCCCTTCCAGGTGTACCCCGCGTGTCCAGCACCCTTCTCCTGAGAACCCCGTGCTTAGGGACCTGACATTGCAGTGGATGCTTTTGGCTCCCGGCAGGTGAAAATTGAGGGGCAACGTTTGTTTGCTTATTTCTTGAAGTGCGTGTCCTTAGAAAGCACGGGCTTGCTTTCTAACTGGGCTGCTCGCAGGCATGGAGGACAAAACGCCCCGGTTACATAAATGAAAGTTTATCGCACACGTTGGGAAAGGGCCGTGTGATTGAACAGGAGCACGGCACTGCTTTAGGGTGGCAGCAGAGGGTGTCCTGGCTGGCTGAGCAGGACCAGCACACCCTGTGCAGCACTCTCGCTATACCTGTGCTCTCAACGGGCCAGGTGAGTTGCAGCTGGTTAAAACACCCCAGTTCTCCCCAGCTTGGTTTGTCTTTAGGGAATTTGCCAGTGAGGACACGCTAATACAAGCCAGATGTGAGGGTGTTTTATGCATCTATGTGGGGAAAATGGATCAAGCCCACAAATTCATCTTGCAGAGGACAAGCAGCCAACACAAGGTAGTGATTTCTAGTCACTACAGGCCCCAGACCACACCGCTTTCACCCGATGACTCAAAGCCGAAACCCAGCCATGCCATTCCTGCTGACACTTGGACACTGTGAGGAGTGTAAATACTTCAGATAAGCAGGATTAGGGAATTCTCCTAGCCCAGGGCTGCAAAGGGGAGCCACAGAGAGCCTGCACATCTGAACCTCTCTCATGTCAGCTCGGGCAGTGTCTAAGGAGTTGGGCATTTCTGTGTGTTAACACAAAATGCAGGTTGGAAGTCAGCTCCCCCCACCCCCAAGAAAGAGCACATCCTGCCCACTCCTTTTGCACAGTCCAGGTTTTAACCACCAGATTTATCAGCTTTTTTGTGTCTTTTTTGTTTTAAGTGAAGGCAAAAATTACAGTCCTTTCAAGCAATTACCAACTTCTCAGCACAAGCCCACAAGGATAGTCACACTTCCATTTTATATTTACCAGTGGCACCAAGGTGACACCTGTGGACCGAGAATCATTTTGTACCTATATGAAGGGTAAAGGGGTGGCTCTACCCAAAGACTGGGGCTACATCAGTGTTAACTCTGGCCTCAGCATGAGGAGCTCTGCCTTTTCCTCAGCAGGAACACTAAAATGCTCCTTGTTTTTACACCTGTGCTCTACAGATTTCTAAGGGACCCAAGCAAACAGGGCTTCACAAGCTGTGCAGGACAGGGAGTATCCTTGGTTTGCCTTAGACTGGGCCCCTTTGGGGTTTTGCTCACCCTCCAATACCCCCATGGCTGCTCAGATGACACAATCACAGAGATAGAAGTGATGCCATGTTTCCAGCCACTATTTTTCATATTGTTTTTGATTCAGTTGTGATCCCCAGAGAGCAAAGGCATGGGGAAGGTGTAATGTCAGAGGCAGCCGTGTGTATTCCCTAAGCACAGTTGCCTCTAGAGCTGATGGCTTAGGAGGCAGGATGGGGATGAAGAAACTAAGATTATCCTTTCCTCTAGTTTAACTTTAGCCACAGTAGAATCTTTTCTTAGGAGGATATAAATACAAAAGAGGTGAGGGAGGCACAAAATCAATACAGTCTGGAACAATGTGACTTGAACCAGAGGACAAGCAGCCTGACAGACTGACTGCAGTTTCTCTCTTAAGGTCTTTTTTCGAAATGTTAATTTTTTTATTTTAAAAACCAGCCCAGCATAATTACAGGCTCTCACTTAGACTTCCCAATCTTCCTCTAAAACCAACATAGAAATAACTTCAGAGAACTACCTGGTTTAGTTTTCCCTCAAGGGCAGATGTAGGAGAACATTCACCCTTAATGGGGGAATCCTCCAACCTGAGAGCTCTTGAGTGAAGATACAAGTAAAACTCACACACTTACCTTATTGGCAACATCCTTGGGTTTTTTATGCTTCATGGACCTTTCAGCAGGAGTCTTCTTCTCCCCTCAGGTCTACAGATCAGTACTTTTCAGCTGCCTCTCATTGACTCAGTTTTTCCACCATCTTTGCAGGTGTTAAGCTGATAAGTGTGTGATTTCCAAGGACCAGCTTTGTCAAAGAGAGGAGGAACAGTGTACTCACTCCTCTCTGACCTGTTATAGTTCCCATTCTCCACACGTTATTAAAGGTTCAGAGCTGGCTTCAACTTGTTCCTTAGATATTCCAGGGTAATATTCTTCAGGCTTTGCCCTTTTCAGTGTACCTTTTGTTTCTGTGCCCCTCTGCAAGCAGGTACTTGCTGTTTCCTGAGGTTATTCTCCTAGAAGCAGAAAACAGGGAAGCTTAATGTAAAGTTCAACCACTAACAGGTCAATCACTGATTTTGTTCTTTATTTTGTCCCACTTTAAGAATAAACGGTTTCTTAAAAGAAACAAGGTAACATAACTGTTTGATCCCGAGCAAATAAGAACAACGCCTTTCTCCCCCTGGGATAAGGCACCTGTCCAACATTTTATTAACTTTGCTAATTGCATTAAGCATCCTGCAGTGCTGAACAGTCATCAGCTGCTAATTCCCAGATCTCTATAGTGGAGTTGACTGTTAAATGAGAAAAATTCATAGGAGGAAAAGAAGAAAAAGGGCATTTTAGACCCACAGTAGTAACCAAATTATCATACAGTTCTGAATTCTGATCAGGTCCCAAGTAGTGATCATATTTTATGAACTACTGGAAGATGATGTTAGGACTCACACAATAAATATGAGCTATGTGGGCACAAGTGAGATTGATAAATAGATCTTACATGTTGAGACATTTCTACAAACAAGAAAAATTAGGTTTCCATATGTGAATATTTTATGCAGATTTTTATGCAGATAATTTGTACCTGCTCTTTCATTTTGTTACCTGTAGTACTACATGTTAATGTAATAATAATCTAAATTTACATACACAAATTACTGGAAGGTCTGGATCTGGCACACTGGGGAGTAATTTCTGGCTGGAAACATTAGCAGTGTGATAACTATTTAGACAACTATATGAAATGAAATAAGCACTTGTCAAAGGAAAAGTGCATTGTTATGAAAACTGGAATTGGTATAGTCTCAACAAAAAATGTAACCTGTGAAAAAGAGTTAATTAGAAATTATCTCCTGCCTTACTGCTTTTCCTGTTTCTTTCCTGCCTTTCCTGGGATGGAATCCTGCCCCCCAGGAGCAGAGAGCTGGGGAGGCAGAAGCAGCTGTACCTTGCTGCAGATGTGGAAAAGCAGTAAATCACAGCTCAAAGTGGAGGGTTGGCAGGGACCAAACATGCCTGTGCCAGAGGGGGACCCTGTCCAGGCTGTGTGTGACCCACACACAAGGACTGGTGGTGCCTGCACAGTAGGTTTGGCATGGGAAATGTTGGCCTTTAATTTTGGTCCTGACAGTATTGAAGACCTGAATTCTGCTCTGCACTAAGGAGAAGCAGCAAGGTTAGAGGGGACACATGGAAGAAGCTGCAGCTGTCCTGCAGTCACTGTCAGACAGTGTTTTCCAGTTGACATGTATCCACATTTTCCATTTTTAAGAAGCACAAGGGCATTTTGACCATAGTTTTGTGAAAGTAATATTATTTCTGTCTTTCATTATTTGTTCACCAGGGAACCCATTCTACAGCCAACCAGAGAACTGTATGGAAGGAAGCAGGAAAAAAAAAGAGAAAAGAAAGAAAAAGCCAGTCAAGCTACTGCTAATCATGTTAATTTATATATGTTGTTTATAATTAGCCTGTTTAAACAGGCTTATTTCTTTCTTCAGTAAAGACCACATCTCTCCAGGACTCTTGCCATGTCCATTGTCTTTGTGACAGAGAGTAGTGATAGGTACCAATTACTTGGCTGTTATTTAGTGAGTACTCCAAAGTACTTTGATGCAGCAGCATTGTAAATTCTCAGTAGCAGCTAATTGTCTCATTTTAATTCATTTTTAATGAGACACCTGGGAGAAAGAAGAAACATCACAAACCCACAAAAAACCCAGAATATTCTTGAGTCAGTCTCCCAGTCTCTCCTCATTTCTGCCTTCCTACAAAAGGACATTTTGGTACTAGCACACAAAGGTGCAGCCCCTTGGCTTCACCCAGCTGGGTGACAGCATCATTCCTTGACACATCATAACCTTCTCCCACGGGCAAGGGAGGACAATGGTAGAATCTAGGAAACACCATGGCAGGAATCCAGAAAGAAGAAGCCTCTGGTCCTCAGACATTCCACATCTTCATCACTTCTGTCTCTCTAGACAGCCAAACCACATTTCCACAGTTGCCAGAAGGCTGTAAAAGGAAGGGTTGTCACTCACCATCATTTGACATTTAGATGTTGTTCTCAGATGGAAAGAAAAAAAGGTGGCAAAGGGGTATATTTGCTTCAGCAGCAGCTGATTTGTTCCATACTTTTTTGTGAAAGGGAAAGGTGTCCTCTGACAGTCACCAGCTTGGTTTCCTTAGTAAAGAATGACACACACCCTCTTGGTTCTCACTCACAGGGCTTAGTGCTGCACTCTGTGTTAACTTCAGCATCCACATTTTATTGACTCAACGGGGGAATTAATTTCAGTAAGA